GATAGCGTAATGTTTAAAAGAAGAATGGGCTCTGGCACCAGATATGTGAGTATGAATCCAGTTTCCACAGCTAACCAGCTGTGTAACTGTTAGGAAGTTATTTGAACTCTCCACCCTCAATTCCCTCATGTATAAAATAGGGATAACATTCTGATTCAAGCAGTGGAGATGGAAAAAAATTAAGTTAAAAAATAAAAATAAAATAGGGATAATAGTATCTACCTCATAAAACTACTGAGAATATTAAATGAGACAGTATATGTCATATGTAAAAGCACTTAGAGTAGTAACTGCCACATAATAAATGGTATCTAAATGTTAGCTGCTGTTATTAGTATTAAGATGGTAGCAAACAAGTGTTTTTAAGGGAATTAAATTTTGTTTATGCACATGACTATGCCAACTATGTGACAGATGTTTTTACAGGTTCTCTCATTTAATCTCCTCAATTCTCTGAGACAGAATTTTATACCTATTTATGCCTATTTTATAGCTAAGGATAAGAGGCTCAGGTAAGTAAAAAGTACTTTGCCTACCGTCACTACAACAGTAGAGGCAGAATCGGAATCTGAATTTGCGGGGTGACTGTGACTACAAAAACTATGTCTGAAGCTAGGAGAGGTTAAGTCACTCGACCCAGCGGCGAAGGCTGAGACTCGAACCCGGGCCTGACACCACAGCCAGCGCTCTAGAGGGCTACGACGATTTATACAGAATATACATCTATGGACGGAGCGGATGGGTTAGATGGGAGAGTCAGTGCGCCCCCACTCCCTTGTTCCTGCTTGTCTTTGTTTTGTTTTTTCAAGCAGAGTTTTGCAAGTCCCCCTGCCCGAAAACCCCCTCAGTTCCTCTCCACCCCCACGGTGGACTCCTCGGGTCCGCAGCCCTCACCTGGCCCGGTCGGGATGCGGACCTGACCATCTCTCGAAGCCTCAGAAAAGCCCAGACAGAGCGAAGACACGCCACACGGTAAAAAGAATTAACCGCCTTGGACTCCTGGACCTTCTTGACCCGCCCCCCGAGCTTCCGCTTCCGGAAAGGAGCCCGCCGAACAGCGCGCTTCATAGTCTCCGACGCGCCTCCCCGGCCTTTCTCCCGCTACAGGCCCGGCGCCCTGGGCGTGCGCAATAGATCCTCCCCCGACGCCGGGCTCGTCACACACGCGCGGAGGCTGGGAGAAGCCAACACACAGGAGCGGGGCGGGGCCCTGTGGGGGCGGGACCGGGGGGGCCGAGGGCGGAGCGAGGGGCTGGCCTGGGCGGAGCCGGGGCCCTGAACACCTGAAGGTGGAGTTCGCCGGCCTGTCCCTGGGCTTGCAGCGGAGGAGCGCTGCCCTCCATCGACCGGGAGAAACAGGAACGAGGACTCGCCAGAGCCAGAAGAAGGGACCGGGGTAGGGGGCGGATAGGTTTTAGAGGGAACTGCGCACGATTTTGGGGTTTTCTCTGTTTATTTTTAGTTTGGCATCTTGTGTGCCTTTTTGAATGATCTTGTTCTTGATATTCAGTAATAATCAAACCTCAGGATTGTAATCTTTGAGTAATTCTGATGGCAATTTCAAAGTTATTCACTGTGACCACTGATCTCAGAACGGTGCTCTTTAGTTGGGATTTAGTTTTACTTCCATGCATAGTTGTCTGCTCTTCTGTTGAGGTGATTACTGTTGATAAAGAGTGGCACAGCGTTCTTACCATTGACGTGCTGCACAAATTTTAGTGGGGATTAGTCATTGGTTTTTAAGGCATTGAGTTTGGGGTTAATGTTTTAAATTCAAGTTGAAGAGAAATTAAATAACTCAGTTGATTGTATTTTTTTTAAATGGGGAAAGTAGCTACCCTTTAAAAGTCTGTTAAAATTAATATCGAAGCCCAGGAACTAAAATATGTCCACGAATATATTACACATTCATGCTGAGTGGTTTTAGGAAACTGAATATTTTGTAAATTTAGAGTTAGATCATACTGTGAAAACCTCACCTTTCCTTTACCATCCCTCGCATAGGTTTTTAACATATCCGCCTGAGATTCCGGGTTTTTTCTTAGTTAACTTGATTTTTTTTTTTAAACTTGTATTGATTTTTCTTAATTAATACATGTATATTTTAGAATA